GTGTATGAGTAGTTTTCTCTAGTGTATGTGCATGTGTATATGTTCATTTTTGTATATACACATATGTGTGCTAGTGTGTGTGTGTGTGTGTGTGTGTGTGTGTAGGCAATATGTTGATTTTGGATGTCTTTCTCAATTGTTCTCCCCATTAGTTTTTGAGACTAGTTTTCTCACAGGACTAGAAGCTCACTAATTCGACTAGATTGCTTGTTCAGGTAATTTCAATGATCTATCTATCTCATTCCAAGAACTAGCATTACTGATAAGCCCTGCCATGCCTGACCTTTAACACAGATGCTGAAAATACCAGTTCCTGTCCCCATGTTTGTCTGGCATGCACAAGAACCACGTCCCCAGCCCCAGTGTCCTCAGTTATTTTGAAAAGTAATCTTGTTTGTTTATTTCCAAGTAGATTTGTAGCTGACCCTGTCCATTAGCCAGGTTGCTATCAAATATGTATGTTTAGTAGGAAAACCGTTCATTTGATTATTTCCATTATTTAGACACTATAATTTTGTTTTTGCTATTAGCTGCTTGAAGTTATCTTCCACAGATTATTACCACAATAATTGCAGCCTATTATTGAAGATTATCATTATTTTAAATTTTAATTATTGCTATTATGAGGCATTTTTGAATGTATGTTTAGGAGAAAGTATTGGGAAATACATAGTAAAAATAGCCAAATATCCTACAAATGTACACAGGTTAGAATTTTTATATTTTTCAGAAACTCATTTAAGTATGCATTTTATAAGCAACATGCATCTTTTAAATATTGATTAGATATGTTTTAAAACACTTATCACATAATATCAATAAATTACTAGATGCAGACGTGTTCATATCTATGAGCCAAAGTGACCAAAACGAAGTCAGGAACAAATGCCCAGATGGATAATATTTGTTACATCATAGGACAATGTAGATTCAGCAGCATAACTTAAGTTTAGTTTAACAACCAAAACTTTTACACTGCCATGATAGAAGATTTAGGGATATTTATAAATGGATTTAGAGATAGATAGACAGATAGATAGATAGATAGATAGATAGACAGACATAAAGATAGAGAACAGAAACTATATGTTGTCCATTGAAATAAAGTTCTGCTCTTAATTGTCATAAAAATTACTGCCATTGATTGATACTGTCTAAAAACTTTTGAAGTATCACATGCTGATTCCTTTGGGAACAACTGGGACACTTCATTAATCATCAATATACTAATAAAAGCTGTCTCATCATTTATATCCTAGGCTATAATTTAATCTCATATATGTATAACATACATTAAATAATGTGAAACTATTGGAAATCAATATGTTTCATTGCTCAGAGATTTATAAAATTTATTATGGAGCCTTTTCTATATTAAATGGCATAACCTAAAATACAATTTCTGCTTCAAATGGTTACTCATTCCAACCCTGCCTTCTTTACCTCTCTTTTATTTTCTTTTAAAAATAACACCTTAGTATGTTAGTACATCAATCTACTAATTATAATTATTATTTTGAACAAATTATATTTGTAGAAATAAGCTCACAGCTTGAGCTGACTGAGGTGGCTGGTGCCCAGTGTCCCAGTACTTGAATGACAGAAAGATTGCCATGAATATCTGGTTAGTTGGGTATATTCTCTCTCTCTCTCTCTCTCTCTCTCTCTCTCTCTCTCTCCCTCTCTCTTCTCTCTCTTTCTTTTCTCTCTCTCTTTCTTCCTCTTCCTCCTCCTCCTCTTCCTCCTCTTCCTCCTCTCTCTCTCTCCCTCTTCCTCTCCCTCTCCCTGTCCCTCTCCCTCTCTCTCTCTCTCTCTCTCTCTCTCTCTCTCTCTCTGTCTCCTCCCAAACAAGCACATACATGTATGCACATGTGTGTCTTAAAGTCATAGAATAGTGAATTATTTTGAAGTTCCTGACTTTATCTTGTAATACGTGATCACTGGGAAAAATTGTGCTGTGGATAGTTCCGTACACAAGGCAACAAGGCACCATCTTTTCTTTGTACGGTTTTAGCCACTGACTCTAAGCATAGTAGGTAGGCAACACAAGCAGAAATCATGTACCTCGAGATCTTCTTGCAATTGGTTATGAGGTTTCAAAATTCATTTGCCATTTCCAGCAAGCTATTTGTGTTCTCTGTTTGTGGGTCAAGATACGAACTCTCAGCTGTTCCTGCTTCCTTGTCATCCTGGACCCTCTCGTATTGTAAACCTCGACTGTTTTTTGCTGTGTTATTACTGTAGTTTTTTGTTTGCTTTTTTTTGTTTTGTTTTTTGTTTTTGTTTTTTTTTTTCTCGAGATAGGGCATCTCTGTGTAGCTTTGGATCCTGTCCTCCTGGAAGTTGCTCTGTGGAGTACACTGTCCTCGAACTCATAAAGATCTGCCTGCCTCTGCCTCCCAAGTGATGGGATTAAAGGCATGTGCCATGACCGCCCAGCTTAGTCATGGTATTTTATCATTGTAACGGGAAAGTAACTAAGATAGAGGTTGTCACTTTTTTTTTTAGAAAGTAATTTTAGTAAATTATAAAAGTTTCCATTTCTGCCCCTCCTCCCAACACCTTCCCACTCCCCCCACTCCCTCTCCTCCTCCCTCTCCATCCCTAAGAGCAGTCAGGGTTTCCTGCCCTGTGGGAAGTTCAAGTTCCTCCCCCCTCCCTCCAGGTCCAGGAAGGTGAGTGTCCAGACAGACTGGATCCCCAAAATCCAGTATATGCAGAGGAAACAAGTCCCAGTGTCATTGCCAATGGCTTTTCAGAAAGACTTCGGGCCAGCCACATTCAGAGAATCCGGCCACATTCAGAGAATCTGGTTGGATCGCATCCTCGTTCAGTCCCAGTCCAGCTGGCCTTGGTAAACTCTCATTAGATCAGTCCCCTTGTATCAGTGGGTGATCGCATCCCTCACAGTCCTGATTTCCATTTTCATTTTCTTCGTCCTTCTGCTCCTCATTTGGACCTTGGGGGGCTCAGTTCGGTGCTCCAGTGTGGGTCTCCGTCTGTATCGCCATCCATCGTCGGATGAAGGTTCCCTCTGGTCTTGCCTTCTTTGCTCACTTTTGAGAAAGTCTTCCCATATTGAATCAGTTTGTGCTAATCACCACCACCATCACCAACAACAATAACAAAAACCAGTAAGGGGTATGGACCTCATGAAAACTGCATTGTAGGTGGTACAAGTACAGAGAAACTGTGATGCTTAGGATTAGCTGGAATGTAGCTGGCTATTGGAACCCCGTAGCATATTGAGAAGAGTACAGCGTGACCTCTAAAACTTAGGTTGAGTTTGTACCTTGCAGAGTCATGAATTTTACACTTTTATAAATCTATATGCCTAAATATTTCCTTTTCTGATTATTCACAACTATGTCTGACAGAATCCACGAAGTCAGATTATACTTTAGAAATTGAAGTCTGATGATTCTGAAAAACAGTCTATCGTCAGCTTCCATTTAAGATAAACTTTTGTGGAAAATACATAGAATACTGAATGTCTTGCCCTTTAAATTTTAAGCAAGAAATGTCTTTGAACAAATAACCCACAGGTTTTCTGTTTTTTAACCTTTTATTGAAAATGGATTTTAGTCTCACATAATGTATCTTGATTATGGCTTCCCTCCCTCTACTTCTCCCTATTCCACCCCACCTCCCCTCCCATCTGAATCCTCCCCATTTCTATCTCATTAGAAAACAAATAGACTTCTAAAGGATAATAATATAATATAATATAATATAATATAATACAATATAATATAATAATACAAAGCTGGGCGGTGGTGGCACAAGTCTTTAATCTCAGCATTCGGAAGGCAGAGGCAGGTGGATCTCTGTGAGTTTGAGGCCAGCCTGGTCTACAAGAGCTAGTTCCAGGACAGGCTCCAAAACTACAGAGAAACCTTGTCTCGAAAAATCAATCAATCTATCTATCTATCTATCTATCTATCTATCTATCTATCTATAATGATAAAATAAATACCAACACATTGGAATAGGACAAAATAGATACATATTCCCTTGCACAGATAGAATTTTCTATGTGGAGTTAATTTAGCAGGCAGCTTCATTTTAAGTCTGATAGTGCACCTCAGCCGGTGATTGACTCACTCAGCTGTTGCTTTTCTCAAATTTTCTCTGTTTCATTCTTTTCTTAAGACTATTGTTGCTTCATAGGAAATTCTAATTTGGCAGTTTTTTTTTCTCCCTGCATTAAAAAACAATCCCTCTCGATTGGATTCTCTTGTTCCTGAAGTCAATAGAATTGTATCACCGTTCTGAAAATGTAAACATTTTGCTCATTATTCATTACTGTTTCTTTTCCTGTCTTCAATAGAGGGATTTCAGGCTGTCGGCACTGGCACATCTCAGAGCTTCTGTTTATATTTTTCTATGAAAATATTTGCATTTGGATAGTCTCGTCTTATTTCAGAGGATCTAATCTTATATTAAATCTATCATACATACTTTTATTTTTATTGAAAATAGATTCTTTCATACAATATGTTCTGTTTATGGTCGCCCCTCTTCAAACTCCTCAGAGATCCCCTTACCTACCCAAATCCACATTCTTTCTCGTTCTCTTTCATTTGAAAACAAACATTTAAAATAAAACCAAACTGAATAGGAAAAAAAGAAATGAACAGAAGAATAAAGAGCCAAGGAAGAAGCACAAGAAATATATTTAGATGCAGGCAAGCACACACACACTCACACACACACACACACACACAGAGAGAGAGAGAGAGAGAGAGAGAGAGAGAGAGGAGAGAGAGAGAGAGAGAGAGACATAAATCCCCTAAAACACAAAATTGGAAACCATAATATATAAACAACAGATCTGTAGGAAAAGAAAGAATGCCTAGATAAAGCATTATAACACACACACACACACACACACACACACACACACCTACAAAATACCATTGAGTTCATTTTGTGTCATCTACTGCTTGGCATCTGCCATTTGGTGTTGTTGGGCCTGTCCCCAAGAATGGTTTGCTTACCCAGTGAGCGTCCTTTGCTGAAAGCTATTCTTTCACTGCTGGTTGTTACCAGTTGGAGAAAGCTTCTAGGTTAAGGATATCGGCTTGCGTTCACATCGACTCTCAGCACTGGGACCCCATCTGACCCAGACCTGTGCAGGCCCTGTGCTTGCTGCCACAGTCTCCTTCTGTGTTTAGGCTCTGTTTCCTTGGTGACCTCAATGCCTTCTGGTTCTTAGAATCTTTCCATCTCCTATTGCACAGGATTCCCGTAGTCATGAAGGGAGGAAATGAAGGAAGACCTGGTGTTCTGAGGTCTCTTATTCTCTACTCCTTGTCCAGTGGTGAGTCTCTGTGTTTGTTCCCATCTACTGCAGAAGGAAGCTTCTCTGATTGTGACTGAGCAAGGCATTGATTCATGAGTATGTCATCAGGAGTCATTTGGATGACTCCTTTATGTTCCTTTAGCATTATGGTGCAATTTGGGTTTCCCTTAGATCCCTGGCCTATCTAGTCTCAGTTTCTTGCCACCTGATCTAGCATCTTTAAAAGTTACAACATATTTTCTAAAGTTTTTTCTGTTTTTGAAATATACTTTGCTTTTCTTCTCATTGAACTCCTGTTTTTCTTTAGATTCCTAAGTAGAACTGTTAAAAAGTCCTTTCCTCCTAATTCAATGATATTTTTCACCTAATGCTGATTTTATTGGTTGATTTTTCTCCTGTTAAATATTCACATTTTCTTGCTTCCAGGCATGTTAGCAAGACTTTACTGATATTGTAAGTATTAAGTCATTTAACATCTAAATTTTGTTATTTTTTTTAAATACTTAAAAGACTTTAACCTTTGTTGAGTATAGAAAAACTAGCTCTTAGGGATTTTCCTACTAACAAATTTCATCCCTGGAGTTCTGTTGGAGGTCTGTGTGCTCAGTGAAGCTTTCCACTCTGGATTCTTGGACTCCAAACACTTTGCAATTCTCTGGGAAAATTGGTCAGTTTCCTATCCCAGGATGTTTACTGTTGTCCTTGGATGAAGCATTCTTTGGGTGTGTACATACGAGTGCTCATCAAAAGACTCAAGGCAATTCCTGCTCAAGTTTCAGGAACTCTTCCACATCTATCTTCTCCTCCACTATCAGTGTATAATAAAAGACTCACATTTTTTTTCTCTTCCTTCAAAAACAACTAATGCAACTCTGTTCTGCCTTTTGGCTACATAATGCCAAATAACTCCACTCTTAACTCCTTTCGCAGGAACTGGAGTCCTGAGTTGTGTTTTACCAAATTTTTGTAGAGCTGTTTTACATAGTTTTCAGCTTACTGGTTGTTACTAGAAAGAACACAGATTTCTCATTGTGGCCTGGAGTAAAGTAAAAGTATTTTCTTTTTTCATTATTTGCTTTCCCCATATTGTCTTTATGTGTTTTGGTGTGAAAGGAAAAGCTATGTGGATGTATTTCTCTTTAGAAGATTATTGCATTTATTTGAAGTCAATAAAATCAGACTATGTGATTGTTCTGCAATAAAATGTTTCAGAAAAAAACTTCTAATTTGATCTCTTCACTATTTATGAGCAAACTTTCTAGCCACCGAAGTTATTCTGACAAATATTCATCTGGGTAATGAAGGTTTTCCTGTAAGGGTACCATTATCCTGAAAATAAGACTGGAAACAAAGTCAGGATAATACTGGAATATTAGAGCCATATTTATTATTTCATAGTTTCCCTGCAGTAAACACTGTGAAGAAATACTTTAAAAAGTAGTTTTTTTTTTTTTGGAGATAATCAAAATGACTTAGCAGTTAATGTACATTGCTGCTAAGCCTCACTTTCTGGGTCTGATCTTGGAACCTACATAGTGGAAGATAGAAGAGAGAAGAGATTCCGGGAAATTGTTTCTCATGTATACCATAATCATACTGCGGCATGTATACTCTTCCACCCCCACAAAATGTAAAGAAAAAATTAAAGGTTATCACATTTAAACAAAATATGCTTTAATTTTTAATTTTGGTGATGATTTTGGGAATTTGATTGCTATTAAATCTTTAATTGCTTGAGAAGTCATTTGGAATGATGTTAAAGGAAAAGAGAAATTCATCTCTTGTGACAGTCTGAAGGTGACCATGCATATTTTTGAAAAACAGATAGTTTAGACATCCAGTTAGAATATATATCAAATCTGCTTGTACAATAGTGAAGAAAATTCTAAGCTTATTTAAAATACCTAATGAAATTCAGCTGAGGTTTACTTCTTTTCAATTTTTTAGTCTACACAGATAAATTATGAAGAACTTTTAAATATGAATATTTATTTATGCAAAATTTGATCTCATGATAAAAGTCTGATTGTAGTCAAGTGCATAGGTTGTATTTCTTATTGCTTAATATGAATCCTAAACTTCATCGAAGATGTTTTCTTATTTTTAACTGAGATCTTTACTATCAGTGTAATCAAACATGGGGGGCATGATTGTTCTAAACATTGAACATAGACCAGTTAATATGCATTAGTGAGTTTATAAAAGTAGATTGATTATTCAAATAATGATCTTCCTTTCCTTTGTCCTTTTACAAAATGGAATATAGACAACACAAATTTGCATCCACAGCTGAAAAATTACCAAATAAGTGTGCGATACTAAATTGCAAGCAAAATTATTGTCATGTCGTTTTTGTGTGAGATATTGTTAACGACTCTGGAATACGGGTTTTTAAAGAAAAGTAGCACACAGAGTCATTAAAAGAAAAATCATAATATAACACTTTTTTTAAGCAAATTTCAGCTTGGTAGAAAAGGAAATAAAATATACCATAAAGAATCTAGGAATTTTATTGACTGCTTAACCCATTGTTTTGGAAGAATTGACTTTTGCTTCGTCTCGTTAGGTAACTGCATCCTTTCTATTTTTGCAGAAGCGTTTGGAAGGTGGGCCTGCATGGAGTGTCACCGCTGACTGCTTCAGCACAGCTCTAATTTATATGGTACTTGCTGAGCTCTGGGTCTGTGGCCTGGATCTGTCACAAAACTAGTACATGACAAAACCCGATGGCTTCTGACGTGTCCAGCATACATTTGAAACAAACAGCCTTACCAAGCTTGCTCTAAATAGCGACCAATCCTTGCTTAAATAATAGAATGAGACATTGGCAATATAAGGGGAAGAAATGGGTAGCAAGATCTGCACTTTGATCCAGGCATATTTAAGATTTGTTTTAGGAGAATTTCTCCTATACAAAGGTTCCCTGCTTACGACTTTTTATTGCCTTCTGTATGCTACTCCTGCCCCCTGGAGTTTAGCATAAAATTCTATACTACTGCTTAACAAATATTAAAGCATGAGATTCTTGAAATACCAAAAATGAGAAATTTGATCTTAGACCAAACAAGGATGATTAAAACCTCATAAGTTTTAAAATAATAAATTGTCGTCAATCTGTATATGTCCTTAAGCATATATAGTCTGCCCCTTTAGGAGAATAAGCCTCATGAGAAACGGGAATATTTATTTGTTTTAAAATCCTAGTACCCAGCTGTGTTAGATTATTCAGTTGTTTTAATAAATAAGAAAGACAATTTGGGGTGATAACATTGTCACCAGGATGAGAGTCTTAGGATAACTGTGATGCCGATATTAAAAGACATTCTACATGTAGGCATAACCACATATTATTTTAGTTACTCTATAAATATAAGCAAGTATTTTAGCTTGTTAATATACAAGACTGTAGTGTACTAATGCCCAAGCTGTCATCAACATGAATGTCTATATTCAAATTAAATACTTAGCTTTACATTCATGCATGAAGCAATTAATTCTCTTAGACCGTTAGGTAAAGTCCATTCCTGTCAACATGATGCTCATTCATATTTGATTCCTTTCTCTGTGCTCCTCTTTGACAATGGAGCCCTGAGGTTATCATAGCACATGGAAGATGAATAGGTAGTTTCATCTGAAGGTGACACAGTTCTTTCTGAAACTACAATTAAGGTGATTCGATTCCACACATAAGTTCACTTATACCTTGAGATTTCTCTTCGGCATTCATCTATACAAGCATTATATAGTAATAATATTATAATATAGTAATAATATATATATTATTATATATATATTATTATATAGTATAATATAGTAATATAGTAATATAATTAATAGTAATGTATTAGTGATCTGTTTCTGGGAAAATTTGTTTTCTGCATGGCTGTCCTGTCATTGGTACACCATACATTCTTGTTAGAAACACCTCAAAATTCAGCTATATCATTTTTGGAAATATACTCAAAGGACTCTAAATCCTATTACAAGGACAGTTGCTCAACCTTGTTCATTGCTGCTCTATTCATAATAGAAGTGAGAAACAGCCTAGATATCCATAAATGGATGAGTGAATAAAAAATGTGGTACATTTATACCATGAAATATTACTTATCTGCTAAAAAAATGAAATCATGAAATTCACAGATAAATGGATGGAGCTAAAGCCCAGATTCCAAAAAAAATTAATTATGAGATGTCTTCACATATATATGGATGTCAGCTGTTGAGTACTGGGTAAGCAGTCAATAATTGGTTTAACTATAGACATTAGGTATAGAGCAAAGGCTTTGGCTGGGGAAGGGTTTCCCTAGGAAGGAAAAATAGATCAGATATTTATGGATAAAAGTGTGTGAACTGGAGTGGGAGGATAAAATAGAGATGGGGATGTAAAAGAGGGGTAAGGGAGGGAATACAGGGAAAGTCACCTAAAACTAAGGGCCATTTGAAGGTTGTATGGAAGCCTACTATAGTAGAAGCTTTTTAAAAAATGTACATATATAAAAGTCTAAGTAAAATCACTAAATAATGAAGGGAGACACAGCCCCAACTAGACATATCTCAGTGTCAAATGATACCTCTAACATTAGGATTATACCTAATTTGTTTTTGCAATGGAGACTCAGTGGGTATACAAACCACACTTAAGGACAAGCACCATGTCCAGAGGTAGGTAGTCAACACAATATTAACTCGGTGTTATTTTTCGAGGATTTCTTTTTCTCATAATGGTTTATCTTGGCATTTTTTTCAGCCTTATGGGATTTTGCTTCTATCTTATGGCTCTTGGTTTTGTGTTTTAATGGGGTTATTGTGTGTATAAACGCTTTGTCTTCTACTTTATTGATGAACATCTAGGTT